AAAAGTGCTGTCAAAGCTGCTGAAATTTGTGGTACATTGAAAGAAAGAAAGAAAAAAAGATGAAAAATCAAATAGAACTAAAGCTCATCTATGGTTTCAATTAAGGTTTCTAATTTTTATTATAATTTGGCAATTTTCAAAATACCGCTTCCTATTCAATGTGTTATTCACACTGTGTATGCTTTCTTCACAAATAAGCCAGTCTGCAAAATTCACACCAGGTACTCTCACTCCTACACCTGTCTGCTAATTAGTTCAACTGGGAAGTTTCTGTCCAGACATATTTCTTTTTTTGGTACTGGGAATGAAACTGAGCACCTTGTGCTGGCCAGGCAGGTGCTGCGCCATTGAGCTATATCCCCGACTCTATCAGTACATATTTCTGGATCTCAGCCTTACAGATTTTAATTTAGCTCATTAGGTATTTCTAATGACAGGGAGACTTTAGAATGCTCATTGTTTGTAAAGTATTTTGCTTTAAATCCATAATCAAGCAAAACTTAAGGATTGTCATTTTTTTATTATCTACTAATTTTTAGAACAAAAGCAAATGCAAAGCTTCTAAAATTCCTGGATAATTCAATATTCTCATTGGCTTCAATATTTTTTAAGATCATGAAAAGACTTTAATATGCATATTTATTATATGATATGAAAATATTAATAAAGTATTTCCTAACTTTTAAAGGTAATATTTCACACACAAGATAATCTTTCCACATTTTACAACAAAGAAAGCCCCAAAGTCCCCCCAAACTGAGAGAGAGCATTTATCCAAAAAAAAACCAAGCTATTTCTGGATATTGTTTCGAAAGTCCAAAATCTTCTGTTTTGTTTGTTTGTTTTGGTCTTTTTTTTTTTTTTTTTGTCTTTTTGTCTTTTTGAGACAGGGTCTCCTTATGCAGTTCAGGCTGGCCTTGAGCTCACTTTGGTCGCGAAAGCTCACTTTTGGTCTCGAAACTAGGCTGGTCTCGAAGTTGCAACGATCCTCCTGCCTCAGCCCTCCCCCCCCCCGCAAGTGCTGGGATTACGGGCATGTGCCACCACGCCTGGGTCCAAAATCTTCTTTTAAACTCTCATAACACATTTATTTCAGGCAGGGATGGAGTTGCTTAAATCTTGCTTTTCTTGACAAACCAATCCTAGTTGGTTGGTTGCATGTCTTAAAGAGGCTGGATTCTTGAAATGCCATGCGAAAAATGACTACCTCCCCTTGATAAATTATTAAATTTTTCTTCCGTAGATTCATCAGGGAACAGAGCAGGTCTTTTAGGTAAAGAATTTTTACCATCTTGCTCAGAAGTAAAACAGAGTATTTCTTCCTCTCTGTTCGAGGACAGCAATACACACTGGGAACTTCCTGTTCTCCATTACTGGCTACTGTTTTCCACTTAAATAAACCTTTGTGTCTTTTATCCATATTAGGACCTGCTACTGTAGCGCAGGGCACAGGAGATGCACATTCTCCATGGGCTGTAAGCATTTTCAAACCTTTTTCTGTCTCCATTTTTACTGGCTTCAATATTTACCATGCAGTTTACACTTATTCTTAAGTCTGTGTAGCTCATTTGCATAATAGAACATTAAGCATAACTCTGGTATTATTGGTCATTTAAACAGCGGAATTACTTGTTATGGGTAAAACTGTGTCCCCTAAAAGAAAATATGCTTAAGTCCTAACCCCCAAGACCTTCAAATGTGATCTTATTTGGAAACAGTGGCTGTCGATTTAACTCAGTTAAGCTATGAGCTTGGGCCTTAACTCAGTTAAGCTTATGAACTTAGCAGTATGACCGGTGTTCTCATAAAAATGGGAAATTTGGACACAGACATGCATTGAGCGAAGAGGATAGGCTCTGCAATACCTTCACTGTGGATTTCTAGCCTCCAGAACTGTAAGACAGTAAACTTCTATTGTTTTAAGCTCCCCAGATTTTGTACCTCCTTACGACAGTTCTAGCAAACGGACACCAAACGCCCACAGTACCATAGACGGCCTCTGAATTCTTATGGTGGAGTTTGATCATACAGGACAACCTTAACTAGTCAAAGGCAAGGCTGAGGCAATCATCAGAAAATCACCTGAGTACTCTCCTTACCACTCTGGTGAAGCCTATGATCCCCTTTCAGAATAACATTTTAAAGTCTGTAAAACATACTGGATTGTAAAGAAGCCCAATTATATCAAAATAGTTGCAGGGTTTAAAAAGTTTAAAAATTTGTGATAAAACTAAAAGATCCAGTAAAGGCTACTAGTGATAGTCAGCATTAATGCTATTTTAAAATAACTGGAATATGTAAAAACAGTTGTGAATTCCATTGTGAAAAGTCATAGATCTTGCCAACCCTGCTATACACTGTCATCCTTATAACTTAAATGCTAATTTCAGTTTAGAAATGCAAACAGTGGAAATATGTATGTAATTAATGCCCTGCATCTTGGGGAAGTCCCTGAATTCTGTCAGTGGACAGTTTGAGAGTCGAAGGATGTTGGATAAAGTATGCTTAAAGAGGACAGATTTGGGGGCTGAGGATTTAGCTCAGCGGCACGGGATTTAGCTCAGCGACACAGCACCTGCCTGGCAAGAAGGAGGTCGTGAGTTCGATTCCCGGTACAGGAAAAAACCAAAACCGAAAACCTAAAAAAAAGAGGACAGATTCCAGACCAGCCTGGGCTACATAGTAAGCTCAAGGCTAGCCTGAACTGCGCAGTGAAACCCTGTCTTAAAAAGACAAAAAAAAAAAAAAAAAAAAGGACAGATTTTAAAATTTTACTCATGGCACCAAGGACATACCTCAGTGTTCCAGTGCCTGCCTGGCAAGCTCGAGGTCCTGAGTTCGATTCCAGATACCCTCCCCCAAATATAATAAAGTTTTACTCAGATAACTTGTTTTTCCCATTTTATTAGAGTTGTCCTGAAAGACAGTGGTGTGGGTGACACTCAAGTGCTATCCTCCGATGTGCCTCCTTGTACTATAGGCAAAAGCCAAAACCGCATATTCGCAGGCACAGCTCTCAGTGAGATTCGCCTTAGGTCAGTGCAGGCCAGCCATCCCTTTTCTGATAGGCTTAGTTTTCAGTTTCTTTCAGATTTTGAAATAATTTCCTAGATGTTACAGATTGAGCATTCCTAAACTAAAAAGCCTAAATCTGAAATGCTTTGAAATCCAAAACTTTTGAGTCCCAAGATGCTATCTGAAAAGGTATTTGGGGGGGGGGGACACTTAGGATTTTTGGATCTGAGATGTTCCTTCAGTATTTACATGATACTTGCAAGAAGGACATGCAGCGGAAGCTGTGTGCTTCTGCTGTTCTTGCTGGCATGCACAGGTGTGGCTGGTTTTTGCAGCAGTCTTATTTGGGCTCTACTGTCGGTCTCTGGATTCACTGGTGCCAAAGGGCAAGGTACAGGCTTCGCCTTTGTCATCAGTTAGATCAGGTGTGACGTGGGCCGGAAGCTGGCGGGAAAATACCATCGCGGTAACTGCAGCTCTCACTGAGAAAGCAGCGGTAGACAGGAGAGGGAGCAGCTGTCTAAACTGGGCTCCGTTCTGTGGCTCTGAAGCTGTGCGTTCAAACTGGAGTGGATTTCATCAACCTTCCTACACTCACATAGTCAAATTAATGTCCTGAAATGAATCTCATTATGTAGCTTGTTAGAGAAATTCTGTTATTCGTCACAGAACTGTGAACCAATAGACTGCGATTTACATTCTTTCTTATAAAGGACCTGTCGCTTTCTATTCTTTACCAAAACACTGTCTTTCCAACGTTAAACACGTTGAGAGCAAAATGCTGAGAAAACCCTACTCTTCTTTGACAAACAAGCAAAACGACAACAAAAAACCCCACACTCAAATTTACATTACAAAATCTATCATAAAATACATAGAATAGTCCAAGAATTTTGCTCCTGACCAGTTGATTATAGTCACTTTTTAAAGGAGCCGTCTGTTTCTATTTTGCCAAAAACAAAACAAAACAAAACAAACCCAACCGGATCTGTATGGAGATCTCACACACACACACACACACACACACACAACACACAACACACCTTTTTTTCTTCTTCCTCCACAACTCCAGAATGGAAAGAAACTTCTCTTTTTAAAGTCAGAACCGCTCATTGAATGCTACTTGCATTTTTAATATTAATAACTACACACACAAGAGAACTGAGTATAATTTTTCTATCTCTGCGAAGTACTTGTGAAGTCTCTAGAAGGCGGGCCACACCTATACCACCAGTGTCCGTGACTTTATCAGATTCCATTTAACAAACCCTGCCAGTCAGATACGTTCCGTAATTATGTGCAATCCCTTTAACAAGCAGAAAAGCAGCGGCTTAAAATCCTTTCGAATATAGAAATCAAAAGTAGGAAATCTAGAGCTCGGGTGTGTACTTTGATTCCCGTGGTTGAAAAGCTCTTTGGGAAATCTCTCAAATTCCCACCGGATGGTGGTGAGTCTACAATTCCATTTTCAATGACATTTCGAAAAAGTCCTCAAACGATTACATGATTACTTCCTTTAGTACTAGGAAACTGTTTTTAAAATCCGATTTCGTGACCTTTAAAGTTAAAAATGTGATTTTCTTAACAGTAACGCAGCTTTATCAAAGGAAATCAGAAAGCTTTGTAAGTCACAGGTCTAAAACGACTTTTAGCTCGGGTTTTGCACTCTGAGAGTAAGGTATGTCCGCGTTTCCCCGACGCGGGGCGATGGCTGGGACCGCAGGGAACCCGAGGGCGTGTGCAAGAGGGCGCCAGCGCTGGCCCCGCAGCCAAGCTCCCAGCCCGGAAAGACTCAAACAAAGCCCCGGGTCCCGGTTACCGTGCCCCGCGCCCAGCCTCAGACCCCACAGATCACAGCCAGCGAAGGACGCCAGGTCCCGAGTGCGGCGAAAGGAAAACCGGAGCCGAGCCCACAGGTCCCAGCACCCCGGCCGCAGCCCGCGTCGGGGTCCCCGCAGCCCGCCGGCCCGGCCCGCCGCACTCACCAGCAGCAGCAGCAGCAGCAGCG